CCTGCCCGCCTGCCCGCGCCCCAGCCCGCCCACTTCCTCCTCCCTGTGCGCACCTCGTGGGCAGCTAGCTCAGGGCAGTCCTGGACACAGGGGCCGCCCAGGCCCCTGGACACGTGTGAGCTCAAGGCCTCCGCCCCACGTGCCGGGCTCACCGGCTGGAAGGTCCTTTGGCCCCACAGACTGTGGCGCCCCGCTCGGGCACCTGGGCAGCAGCCACAACGGACGCTCAGGTCGCGCCCCGATGGGCTGGGGTCTGTGGGGTCACACCTGCGCGTCCCGGGTCCCGAGACCCATCCCGGGGGCAGCGGGAGGTCACAGTGCAGCGCCCGCGGTCAGGTGGCCTGTGGCGAGCCTGGGCTGCGCGCTGCCTGTTCCCGCCAGGGCGCCCTCCCCACGTCCCCCATGGTTCTTGGCCTCGGCCGCAGCGGCCGCGCTGCCCCACGCAGGCTGGCCGCTGCCTGTCCCTGGAAGTGACGTCCGGGCCAGGGTGTAGCTGCCGGCCAGGTGCATGCCCTGGGCCGGCGGTGGGGGACTGTGCCCTGGGGCGCCCCCTCCTTGGCACTGGAGGGTGGCGCAGGCACAGTGCCAGGCCGAGCCTTGGCCAGTTCTGGTTTCACTTCCCTGCGAGGTTGGTGGCCCTCACCGGTGTCCCTGCGGGGCCCAGGGGCCGGCGTCCCTCATGTCTGTCAACATGGGCAGCCGCTCGCTGGGCAGGGGCTTCTGCTTTGGGATCCTCAGGGGGCCACTTGCGGGCACCGGGAGGGCCAGGCCCACGCTATGGCAGGTGAAAGTCTTTGCCTGAGATCTGGCTGCGCCGCCCGGGTGGTGAGGGTGTGGGCGTGGGGCTGTGAGAGGACGCCCCAGGGACAGGGTGTGAGCAGGTCAGGCGGGTGCCCTGAGACACACTGCCGGGCCGTGGTCACTCCCTGGCCTGGGGTTGGCGGGGCTGGGAGGCCGCGGAGAGCTGGGCTGCCCGTTGGCCCCGAGCCCCATTCTGCTTCCTCGAGCCGCACGCAGTGGCCGACGCGGGACCCATGAGCCCTCCTGGCGTGGGCTCCCAGCCGCTGGTGCCACCGTAGGCCGCCCTCACCTCCAGCGCTCAGGGCCAGTGCCAGGCGCCCCAGGTCCCTGGAGGGGCCTGCCCTACCCCCACTGGCCTGTCCCTGGCGCCGCTGCCAGCTCTTCCTGCACCCCCTTTGCTTCTGGGGGGCCGCCCCCCTCGCTGCAGAGCCGCTTTCCGTCAGTCGTCCGGCCCAGGATCCTGCTGCCCCACCCATGAGGGTGCTGGCGCCCGTCCCTTCAGCGTGACTCCACGGCTGCAGGGGCCTGTGGGCTCAGAGGTTTCGAGCATCGCCCGATGGGCTTTGCTGTGGGTCGACCTGGGTGCCTCTTCGGGGGCACGACCTCCCAGAAGGGCCGACGGGTGCTGGGCGGCGCATGGAGGCCTGGGGCATGCAGTGCTCACCCTCCGACGGGGTGTCCGCTCCTGCTCCCTGAGACACGCCGGCTGCAGGCTGCCAGGAAGGGCCTGGCCGCCCGCTCACTGCCCGTCGCTTGCTCGGTCATTCGTGCCCTGGGAATTCTCCTTTAGTTTGTTCCTGGTTTTCCAAGGAGGCCTGGGAGGGGGCACGGCAGGGGCACCTCCCATGGTGGTGCCTCTGCTCAGGCCCACTGACCTGGCCTCCCCATCTGCTCCACCCAGCATCCCACGTCGTGTGCCGGCTCCCCAGGGCTGAGCTCCCTGGCCTGGGCTCTGCGTGGCGCCAGCCCAGAGAGCGGGGTGCAGACGCGCAGCCAGCGCGGGGGTGCCTCTGAGCCGCAGCGGGGCACCCGGTGCCCAGCAGCACATTTCCTCCTGAAAACTTCTTAAGTGCCCGCAGCTCGCACCAGCCCCAGCTCAGAGGCGCCCGTGGGCTGGGCCAGCGAGGCAGCGTCCACTTGCCCGAGGCCACGGTGACGGGTATTATCATGGGCACCTGCGGGGCCAGAGAGGCTGTTCAGGGCAGGCGGCGAGCAGAGGTCCGTGCTCTTGAAGCCTATTTATAGGTCTTGGCTACCTTGAGCGTCACCTTACCCCTGACACACTTCGGGCGCCCGGCTCCTGCCTCAAAGTCGGTGCCAGAGCCGGCGGCACCTCGGCAGTGACCGGCATGACAGTCGCACGTGTGTGTCTAAGCCTAGAGATAATAAAGCTCGCTGTAGAGCCACAGGAAGGCCCAGCCACAGCACAGGCCGCTGCTCAAGCTCGGCCAGGACGGGCCAGGACGGCCCAGGAGCATGTGAGCCCAGGGAGGAGGGCGTGGGCGGGG